ATAGCGTGAGATATACTGAGCATCCCTGTTTATCTTTCTGTCTATTCCGATCTATTCTTGTCATCCCGCTGGCATGCCACCGCAGCGTTACCAAGTTTTTTTTTAAATAATATGCTTCTGAATGAGTGTCCTTCCCCCTGATTTCAAGGAACTTTTGGAACTTATGGGCCATTTTTTAGTGTTTCGGCATTTTAAAAGTAATTGCGGTGTTTTAAAGATTATTTTGAGAACGTTCAGGATGCTTTTAAAGCCATTTCAACGTACACACCGAATTTGAGATTTAGATTTCAGTAAAACGGATTGCTGGATCATGAACAGCAAAGCAATGCTTTACTGAAATACAGCAAACGATATTTTTACCGAAAAATACAGCTTACGTGAACGGTTTGCTGGACACCCAGTAATGAACTGTAAAACTCTTAGCGTCACAGTCGCAAGTACGTACGCACCCAGTGCTGAGCTTTGTCATTGTCATTCACAGACTTTCGCACGATATTGACAAAATTGTTTGTCACATAGTCACTGACAGACTTGATCCTCAAAAAAACCTTCGTCAAAATCTCATTCATTTTTTCGTCATTTAACAAGATTCACCTGGTAACAAAAAGTGTAATTTAGTACATTCTGTGTCACATTATTGTTATCCAAGTAGCTCAGGATGTAGATACTTGTTCACTAAAATGGATCCATGTAATTGTTTTGCTCAAGTCATTTAATTTCGTTACAAATTTAGCTAATAAACAAATCTGCACATGTTCGTCACTGACACCATTGTCATTGACAATTGACATGGTTTGCCTTGACTATGACTGTTATCCCAAATGAGTGACCAAAGCAGAATTGTCAATATCACCGTGTACTGTCGAGATTTTGCAGCACTGTACGCACCACTGTCTACATCGAAGGAGGAGGAGGAGGAAATAATTAAAATTATGTTGGTAAATATACTGGTTATATCTAATAAAATATATATGGCAAAGAGCCTGGTGATCTTGTTGGTGATTCTATATTATTTGTGTATTTGTATCAACAAACTTCTTGAGAAGCTGCGTGCTCTTAGTAAAAAAATATCGATTTACTGAGTCTATTCAGCAAAATGCTGCTAAATGATAGAATTTTGGATTGCTGAAAAATCAGCAAATATGAAATCTGAAGTGTTTACTGATTTTCAGTAAAATGTTGTCATTTAGACAGAAGTTGGAATTGCTGGACGATACAGCAGCATTATTTTGCAAGTCTAAAATCAACAAAATTTCACTGATTTTCAGCGATTTAAATTTGGTGTGTATGTAGGCCATTTTTTTTCAAGATCGGTTGGCAATGCAAGTTGGCCAGCAGTCGATGTTTTATGATTTCATCGGTTGGATATGCTTTTCTATTTAGTTTTAATACTACTTTGGCGTTTTGATACTACTCAAACGTTGCGAATACTCTTTTAGTGATTTCACACAAATTGAAGCAATTTTTTGATGGATTTGGTGTCGTTTTTAGTCATTTCAACTTTTCGGCATTTTTTCAATGCCATCCTGACTTTGTGTTTCAGGTAGTTTTCTTTGGTGTTTTAAAGCCAGTTGTTTTTTACCTAGTTCGTTTATTTCTAAGGGTCAATCGTGTTAGCTTTACGGAGCCTATAATTTATTGTTTATGGTTTGTAACAAAATTCACGTAATACTCGCGGCTGACCCGAGGTTAGAGGGGTATATTGTCGAAGGATAGGATAAGGGGAGGAGCTTGAGTGTGGGGTTTCGTTGTCGCCAGTATGAACGGTAATACGGTTCTTCGTCTGGAGTTCGACCGGCTATTGTGACCAGTGGGCGACGATGAGAGTCATCGAGACAAAAGTCAGTTTTGATAGTAAGGTCATTTTAGCTTGACAACATCTATGTTCAATATTGGTTGGTTGCGAGCTTCTGGTCTCAAAGTTGCTCGTAATCAACAAAACTATTAGAACCGCTGCTAATATCACTTCAAATTAGTGATATTAAACATAATTTTTAAATCCTGCCTTTTTTTGGCATGTACATGTAACATATATGAATGTAATATTATTTTAAAATAATATTCTTGACCTTAGCTTTACTTGTATTTCTTTTTTTTCATAAAAATTCTCAAGTTTTGGTTATGCACTAAAATATTACAACACACAAAAAGTACAACCGGTAAAAGTAATAACCTTCGAAAAGTATTCGGGAATGATCTATGATGCCTTAAGAAGTCTTAGTACATATTATTATACTGGAGCCTTTACATCCCCATGAACTGTTTGTAGTACAGCGAAAAAAAAAATGGTTTCATATTTCTTTTAATATTCTGAGCTTTTAAGTTTTCTGAAACATTCAAATACGTCCGGTAAATTACACAACATCAACATATGGTTAAATGTTGTTTTATATTTATTCCCCAAAAATTTCTGATACTTTTCTATCCGAATCATTTTCTGCGAATCATATTAGCAAATGTGTTGGGCAAGAATAATGCTCCCAAATGTTAACAAAAGTTGATGTTCTTCGATTTTTGTCAATTTTAAAGTGTTCAATTTGAAAATTTCAGAAATCTTAGATTTTTTACAAACTATAAAATATTGTTACTAATATTTATAATCTGATTTTATTGCAACTGTCAACTCTCGGCCGTTCTCTATGTCGATAGTGCCTAGAAAATATTTAGGAACAAATATGTCGATGGAAAAATCTAGTTCACTAGAATTTGCCAGCTTTTGAAGTAAAATGGTCGAGTTTTGCTTTGGATACGGGAACAAAGAATACACCCAAAGTGCTTCTAGAATCGTACTACAGTAAAGACCCGATGATTTTGACAGTCCCTTCGCGCATAAGATGTTTACCTTTCAACAATTGCGCATAGCTGTCATTCAAAATCTTTGGTGTAATAAGTCCACTGAAAGATTTTCAAAAAGGTGGTTGGCTTATAAATAATTGTTCCGAATGTTGATCTCTCCCTACCTCGATGGTGCCTTCAATATCGAGAAATGGAAATTTGACTGTATTAAACATTCTATCCTTGTGTTGAGAAATGTGTCGCCTGACAGTAGGAAAACATTCGAGTTCATTTTAGAACTTCGAAAATGTGTAACCCTGGTAATGTCCTGGTTTGGAATCGATTTAACTGGGTTGATATTTTGAACTATTTAAGTAACTATGCGTACTTAAATAACCTGAGCGACTTGTCATTTCCATTCTCCCCTACAGTGGATTTTACTTTACAAGATATTCTCCCCAAATCGATGAAAATGCAGGCTACGTGCTTCACTTTTCCTGTTCACATTCTAAATATTCTCATTTATTCGGGGGTTCTTTCCTTATCGTGTTAGGGATAGTAATCTCTAAGTAGTCTAAGCATTAGTATACACGAAGATCGTGTATAAAAACCTGCCAAATTTATAATTAAATAATGCAAAATATACCAAACACTAATGTCCTTTTTCTTATTCTCATTTATTTCAGGTATGTATTTCACAATTCGATTTCTCTGGTGACAAGTGCAAGTGCAAGCAAGTATAGCACGTATTTCTATTAACCTTAGTTGAATTAATGATAAAGTGATGAGTGCGAGAGACGAGTCAGTGTGTTTCCTTTTAATTTCATTTATATATAGTAGAGCCAGCATCAAGTAAAATAATTGCGCTAGTCACACTGTTTGCGACAGCTGATGTAAAATTTACACTAGCAACTAGCGACAAATGGGAGCGCGCATTGTTTTTTTTTTTCAGTAGTATACACCATAATGTATACGTATTGAAAAAAAAAAGATAAAAGTGATAAGGTTTGCAAACTTAAATACACTAGGGGTATTTACTTTGAATTCGATTAACGGTCACAACTGGCTGCCAATGCTTCTAAATACTTAAATATGACCAAACAGTTGAATTACTCGATCCCATTCTACCGTATGCGTGATAATGTTTGCACCATTGAGCAATGTCAAAATTAAAAAAAAAAATCTCCAAAATTCGTTTTCAAGTTTTTTTTTTATTTATTCAGGGGGGGTATGTTTCTCAGAGTCTTAAACTATGTTAATCATCGATCGAGTTTCCACTTGATCCATTTCTTTCCAGGTTTGTCCAGGTCAATGTTTGTCTGAGGCTTGCTGTACTCGGGTGGCGTTTAGAACAGGCCTTGGCCTTCATGACGCGCCATATTGAGTAATCCAGCGGATTAAGATCGGGACTGGATAGCGGCCACATATCCTTCGTCCAGAACGGAAGATATTCCTGCAACCACTTCTGAGTGCGGTTCGAGGTGTGGCGCGGAGCTCCATCTTGTTGAAATACAACATTTGGCTTCGGACCGTACTGTTCTTTGATCCACGGAAGAACATACTTACTTAAAATCCCGATGTAGACCTCCGTGTTGACCTTGTCGCCTTCTGGAGTGAACACCGGGTCCATTTTTTTGCCATCGGAAGCCACCAATCCACCGGAAGAGAACTAATATACCGGTCGGTTATGTTTGATACGGGATCGGCGGTAAACATGCTCTCGTCGGTGAACAGGATTACCGGATATTTTTGCTTAAGGAAGTTTAAGATTTTCTTGCATCGTTTGACTCGTAGCTCCCGGATGCGGTTGGTAAACATGTGAGTTTTTTTTTTCCGTGCCCTCGACCTCGCCCCGCAATCTTCCTATACGTGATGCCGTAAAAACAGTGATCCCGTGTTCCTTTGCCATTTTCCTTATTGAACGCACTGAATTCACCCGAATCTTCCTTTTGACAGCAGCGATAACCCTCGGAACCCGACCTGTGGCCACCTTCGCGGATAGTTGTCCTTTTGACGGTCCACCGATTTGCGACATTTGCGCGTGGGACAAATCACGAATACGCTGCCACTTCGTCATGGTGCAACTGTCAAACTAAGTAAATCATTTTCTTTTATAAACAGCCTACTACGGTATGAGCTAAAGGTTACGTGCATGCAAAGAAAACCAAGGCATTATGTGCACAAGTGAAACGGGAACCTTATTTGTACGATGGTGCAAACATTATCACGCATACGGTACTCCCTGCTTCATTCAAAAGTCATTTGCTACATAAACAATTCTAGAAATATCGCTAATCTCAACATTGTAAGTTATAACTTATCAACCATTGCAATCAACGCGAATCTCACAAACTACATCACATTCAGTTGTCCGTTATCAATCGAGCTGGAAGGAATTCACGATGAAGCTTCTCTGCTGGTAAGATCACTGTACTCCATTCTCCTCTAACCTCATTTCAATTCTGCAATGTGTTTCTTTGTGCTACCTAGCGGCCTAACCTTTGCGGTTACCCTACTGACTGCGAACCTAGTTCAGATGGCTACCACAACCTCTCTCAAGTGCCTTAAAGAGACACTCAACATTTGTGCCATACCATCTATGGTCCAGACGAACTCATCTGAAGAAGTTTACCTGCCCGATTTGAGCAAGAAAAGCGTTCTGCAAATCGTGACCGGCAACCTATCTATCTTCTCTGAAAAGCTCTCCATACAGCTAGGGACGGTTAAAAAGCTTCAACTTGGCCCGTTGCAACTGAAGGAGATTTTTGTGAAACCGGAACTCCTTGAACTGACCGCCGGAAGAAACCAGATCGAGGTGGTCAAATTCGAAACCAACAACGCTGACTACAAATTGCAACTTTTGGATCTTAGGGAGAACCGTATGAACAATTTAGATAGTTTTGAAAAGTTGGTAGATTTGCGCGAACTGCACCTCGAAGGGAACGCCCTCGAAATTATCGATTTGCGGGTGTTCAACGGTATGAACAATTTGGAGAAGTTGTTCCTTGAGCGGAATCAATTGACTACTTTATTAGCCAGAGAGACGATCGAACTGCCAGCTTTGAGGTACCTTTCGTTGTCGGAAAATAAGCTCACCTATTTGGAAGTCGCCAACTGGCAGCTAAAATCGCTGACGGAGTGCGACGTAAGTGCAAATAATTTAGTTCATATCAATGGACTAGAGGGACAGTTTCCCAGCCTGGATACAATATACCTGACGAAAAATTGGTGGGATTGTGTGTGGTTGAAGGAAACTCTGAGTCTTTTTAATGAGAACTCCGTGACTATTAAAGATCACGATGGGAACTGCGATAGTAAACAAATCGTGGATAACATTTGTTGCGTTCCGTTGATAGATACAAATATCACCAACCACGACGAGCTTAGCAAATTGAGCAGCCTGAAAGAAGAACAAACCACACTCCATGAGGCACTTAAGGATAGATTTGAATGTTTGAAACGCGAACAGGAGTACAAGCTGACAACTTTGGAAAAAGATCTGAAGCATCTGGAACGGAAGGCTGAGAAGTTGATTCCGACGGCAGATAGTCTTACCAAGTTTGAGTTTGATGAGCTGAAGAAGCGAACTCAGACGCTCAAATCGTCAATCGAAAAATTACATGCTATATGGATCAAACAGAAGAAACAAAATGATCTAACCAAACAGAGCCTGCAAAACACGATTGCAGATCAGAGGCGATCACTTGACAATGAGATGAAGAAAACTGCCGAGATTCAGGCACAGTTTGGGCTCCTACGGGACTACGTAGGTAGTAAATTAATGAAGCGCAATTAAAAGGTAGTCATTTTGAAATTTCTTGCACACTGAAATAAATAATGTTAATAAAATGTATTGGGCAGCTGGTATTTCACTTCTATATGTTTTCTCTATTCAACCAGTGCCAGATTTGTGCTCGCTGCACATCTCGGACTTTAAGTGTAAAAAATCATTGGTGTTGCTTCGAATGTTAAGATTTACCTACTCTTTGCATATCGATAGTAAACTATGATCCTAATCTATCAATTACATTACATAAAAACAAATTTCAACAACTGAGTGAAAAGTTACTAACAAATGAGCAGTTGGTGTGTACAACCCTTTGACTGTATCTTGGGATCAATGTGACCCCAGGCAATTTTTGCAATCTTGATAATTCATCAAAACGATTTTTTCTCTGACATGCTGAAGTCTTCTTCACATGCCCTCTTAGTTTGAGACATGTTTCGAATTTTATGTAAAACGGGTATTAGGTATTGAAGTATTTTCGCAATGAACTTAGCTTTATTTTAGAGGTGCAGACAAAGGGTTAGGAACATTACTTTCGATGGATGTTCAGCAAACAAAAAGAACTCAGCCATTCAAATGTTCTCGATGTCCTCAATGACCATAATTTGCAATTAATCACTAATTTGCTGAAAGTTGTTTTACCCCAACTCAGTCCTGGCAGTCCTCTCTGGCGTCGGTAGCAACAAGATCGACGGAAAAGAAATCAAGGATAAAAACAAACATTTTCAATTGCCCCCTATGCCTCCCCCTTCAAATCCGTCCCTGTATCTAACGTATCGGTCCTTTCGAAAGTGATTTCCCCGTACCTATATGATGGATATTGGTATGTTTTTTAGAATCGTTTTCCAGTTGTCTAATGACTATTTTCTTAAATTCAATGGTGCATACAATATCGTGCTTTACTTCTCTATGCTTCTCTTTTATTTAATCAAACAAGTCACTGAAAGACAATTCAAAGTTTATCTTGAAACAAAAACTCCTAACCCTTCAGCGTATCACGCATCTCCAGCTTATTGCGAACAAGATCTCGTAGACCTTGAAATTGCGCCTGCAACTCTGCAATATGCTTAATGTAAGGCTCTCGCGATCGCTTCAACTCCAAAATCGTGTGCCAAAGCTTACGCTGAGCTACATCGTTTTCCTTCTGTTTCTTCGACCACAATTGCCTTTCCTGCTCCAATAACGATTCAGTATTCTGAAAAGCCTGCTTTAAAGACTCAAACTTGGACTTCATTGGGTTGCTATCGCCTGCTGCAGGATCCTCGTTCTTCTTCTTCTCTAACTCCTTCAACTTCTTCAATCGACTTTCCAGGGCTTTCAGTTTGCTATCGTTATCGCTTTTCAATTTTCCAAGTTGACTTTCGTAAGTCGCCCGGAAATCTTCCTGTGTGTTTTCTAGGTTCTTCAATTCGTTCAGTCTTCCGTCGTTGGCGGGATCGATGTTGTGCTCCGGAACACAACAGATGTTAGCCGGGGAAATTCCCTCACAGTCCTCATCTCGATCTTGAACCATTATGAAGCTTTCGCTAAACCGTTGCAACGTGTCCTCCAACCACATACAGTGCCATTCATTTTTGGCCACAGAGATCGTTTGCAAACTGGGAAACCGTTCTTCCAATTTTCCGTCGATTTTAATCAACTTGTTTGTACTCACGTCCCACTGCGTAAGAGAATCCAACTGCCAATTGGTAACGTCCAATTTTTCAATCTGATTTCCAGATATAGAGAGATATTCCAAAACTGGTAATTCAAATCGCTCAGTGGCTTTCACAGTGGTGATTTGGTTCCGATCAAGGAACAACTTTTCCAACTTTTTCATGCTTTTGAACACATGCAAATCGACACTTTGAATGGCGTTGTCTTCGAGATGCAATTCGCGCAAATTCAACAATTTTTCAAAACCAGTCAGATCATTCAGTTGGTTCGAACTCAGATCCAGTACCTGCAGTTTGAACCGGGAGTCTACAGTTGGGAACTCGACTTTATGGATTTGGTTCCCTCCTGCGGTCAGCTCAAGTAGTTGTGGGTTCAGGAAAATCTTCTTCAGTTCTAGCGGCCCAAGTTGAAGTTTTTCAACAGTCCCCAGCTGATTGGCAAGCTTTTCAGAGAAAGCATCCAGTTTGCCTCGCTTGATTTGGAGAGTACTTTTTCCCTTCAATGTGGGAAGTATGACTTCCTGGGGTGGATCCAAAAGGGAAAATGATACGATGACGCATTTTTTAGAATCCTCTCGAAGACACCTTGGAGCGGTTGTGATACTGGTTCCGGCAGTGGCTTGGACTAGGTGGTTTGCGATCAGCGGAGAGCAGGTCACGGTGATAAGGCTGGTTGAAATCACAAAAAAATTGTTAAATTGAATGAGTGAGAAATTACAGTCAGACGGGTAAGGCGATTTTACCACCAGAAGACGACGTTCATTTTTAGATCTGTACGGTCTGATTGATAACGAATAACTAAATGAGGAGATGTATTTTGTGATGCAAGCTCGATGGCGATGATTGATAAGTGATCAGTAATTTTTGTTTACTTGTTGGAGTTGAAGAATTCGAAGGAATCAGAGAGAACTGTGGGAAAAAGCGCCATAGCTAATTGAACAAAATACCTATTATGTTTAGATTGTAACAAGTAGCAATCCAAATCAATAAACACGACTCCCCTAAATACCAATGCCTACGACGCTAGGGAGGCAGTTCCCATACCTGGACCCTACCTATCGACCCATCAACACATGAACCGGGGACCAACGACTTTACTTCTGTTCCGAAGGAAGGCGTGATCAGAGATGTTATGCTTCAGTACATCGCGGCGGGGCCGGCTGGGATTGAACCCAGGCCTGCCGGGGTCCCACTGATCTTATCATTCGACAATTCGGCCCAAAATACAATTTCATTTTTATGTGTGGAGTTTATTAAAATAAACTAAAAATATATTTGAACGTTTTTATGTGGACAATCAACCGGTATTTCCGGTATTTTTGAGAGTAACTTTAATAGAAAAAATAACAAGTTTATGTTTGAAATAATCTTGACAATATGTAAACCTGATTCATGTTTTTCATGTATCGAAATTGGATGGAATTCATCTCGCCGTAGTTTCCGTCTTGTATAAGGAGAACCAATCTCACGTTCATGCAGATACTTTGACTAAGATCACATTACATACATATGTGGAACTTCATGATAATTAACTGACTAAAAGATGACCCCTTTTTTGTGTTGTTGTTGTTGTTGTTGTTGTTGTTGTGGTATAACTGGTATAGTTGGCATCGATCCGTCAAAATGCAATTTTCGTAAACGTAAACAACAGCTTCTTTCGTGAATTTCTCGTAGTTCGAAGTCGTGTAAGCCACCAATTATATCGGAAAGGAGGACTCTTTCAATCATTATTTATTATTTGTTGTTGTTTCATCTTCGATAAAAAATAAAAATCGTTCACACTACTTTACCTAATATTCTTAATCCTATTTTTAAAAGTACTTTTGCTAATCACAAAATCGGAATCCTCGTTAGTATCGTTAAAAGCTCGCAGACAAGCGTCGAATGGATTGTTAAAACCGTAACCAGTCCGGTGAGCCGGCACAGCGACAAGTTGTGACGTGAGCTCCTCAACTGTCAGGGTGGGACGTATAGAGGGACATCCTTTAGTAGTTGAGGACAATCAATGTTGCCACGCAGTAAATCGAAAATAACTAGTTGCAGAATGTTTGTGCGCCTAGCACGTAAGGTTTCCAAATCAATCAGCATACAGCGTACAGTGTAGTCAGGCAGATTTGGCGGGTCGTTCCATGGAAGGTTGCGCAGCGCGAATCGAATGAAAACCTTCTGAATTCTTTCGACTCTGATGATCAGCGATGCGTGATAAGGTGTCCGGACAGAGGCCGCGTATTCCAGGATGTTACGTATCAAAGTACAGAACAATGTCTGTAAACTGCCACGTATAGCGTCGAATGCATCCAAGAACCGTAGAAGCTTTAGCCGTGACAAGTGCAACATGTTCGTTGAATCTTAACTTCGAGTCAATAGTAACACCAAGATCACAAATTGAGGTAACACGCTCTAATGACACGGATCCAACTGTGTATTGGTGGTTGACGGTGGTGCTCCGACGGGAAAGCGATATCACCTTGCATTTTCCTATGTTGACACTCATACCATTTTCTTGGCACCATAGGAGTCATTTTGCAGGGCGCGGCAGTCGAGTACGGTCGCGATGACTCTGAACATCTTCAGGTCGTCGGCGTACATTTGCTTAAATGAAGAAATCTGAAGGCACAGATCGTTGACGAAAAGGACAAACAGCATTGGGCCGAGCACGCTTCCTTGCGGTACTCCCGAAGTAATTGCAAAGGCCTTCGAGCGTGGCGGTCGGTCAAGTAAGAGAGAATCCAATCAACTAACCAAGTAGGGAATCCAATAGCTCTTAATTTTTCGCTAGCGTACACGTGTGGCACTGTGTCAAATGCTTTTGAAAAGTCGATGTAAATGGAGTCCACCTGTCGCCGGCCTTCAACCTCTCGAAACAGAGTATTAGTGTAGCACAGCAAATTTGTAGTAGTAGAGCGGTGCTGGACAAACCCATGCTGGAACTCCGATATTATAGGATGAATCACATTGTACAGAGCATTGTGCAATAAGGTTTCAAAGACCTTGCTAATACAACAGAGAATTGATATTCCACAGTAGTTTTCAGTTCGGTTTCGATTACCCGCTTTATGGATTGGCACATTTCCAAACATTGGGAAATGATCTTTCGCTCAGCGAACGGTTGAATATGCAGGAGATCGGAAAAAAGCGAGTGAGCGTGCACAATATTTGAGCAGAGATGGGGGAATACCATCTACCCCAGGGCCTTTAGACACATCGAGGTCATTCAAGGCTTTCATAACGTCGTTCGGTGAGAAGCGCAACGTTGGGATATTCAGGTTGTACTCGTGGATGCGATCGAAACTTGAAGGATTTAGAGGTGGTGAATTTGTGTTGTAAACTGATTGGAAGAAGCTCGCAAACAAGGTAGCAACATCGACAGGGGAGCTAGCAGCGATCCCGTTAAACTCAACTATGTCCGGAATACGATTACCAGGCCGTTGTGATTTCACGAACTTCCAAAACGCCGCTTCAGATTCGCTTGCGTTCGCTGGACGTACTCCCCATAGCTAGACTTCAACAGTCCGTTGTATCTCGTTTCGATTAATCGGAGACTATTTTTGCTCTCGTTGGTTCTGGTACTGAAATAGTATTTGCGCGACTTACGCAATACGTTCCGCAAATTACATAGCTCAGGGCTCCACCAGGGTTGCACTGAGGTTAACCTCGTAACACGCCTCCGGAGAGGAACTCGCGCATAGAGTGTTTCAAACAGATTGTCGTAGAATTGGTCAGCCATAGCGTTGACAGAAACACCATCCAAAATCTGTTGCCAATGTGGACAGTTCATTATTCAACGAACCGAAATCGAATTCAGGTGGATACGAATCACAGTCCGATATCATGGGCGGATTGCAGTCGGCATCAAGTCGTAAGATGAATGGCTTATGATGATGATCGATATCCAGTAGAGGGACCGGAGGCTCAAGAAGGTTAAAGTTATCCGGATCACTGATGAAGGCTAAGTCAAGCAGTCTTCCATTCAAATTAGACAGTGAATTTACTTGGATTAGCCCGCTAGCGAGCATCGGTTCCGTGAGAGCCAGTTCCTGTTCAGTGGACGCATTTGGTGGTAAATAACCGTTCACGTCCTCGTCGAAAGTCCAACTCAGAAACGGAAGGTTGTAGTCGCCCATTGCCCATTGCGGCGTTCGAAGATCTCTCAAAGATAGTCTGTTGTGCAGTAGTGTGAGACGTGTATAAATCCGGGCTGGAGAGAGGACGGAGATAGATTCCGGTGATGAATAGCGAGCAGTGCTGCAGAGTGATGCGCACAGCCACTTGCTCCAGACGGTCGCAATTCTCGAGCGAAACTGATGTGCATGAATGCTTGAATTTTATCGCAATAAGTACACCGGCGCCTCTGGAAAGCTGACTGGTAGCTCGATTACGGTCGCAGCGGAAGAAATGATAATCTGACGATAGCTCACAGTCCTGAATGTCAGCTCGAAGCCAGGTTTCGGTGAGAACCAGAACGTCGTAGTCGCATGTTGAAAGCATTAAGCGGAGCTCGGTTGTCTTCGTTCGTAAACCTCTTACGTTTTGGTAGTAAATGGTAAAGATAGGATCAATTTGACTGCGAGGGTATGTGCATGCGCTGTTGCTGACATCGCTGGATAATGAGGGCGGATGGAACGTCGAATCGAAGTACTTGCCTGGCAACGCCGACTGGAAGACCCCCTCACCATTTCCGACCGCAGGGCCGAGACGACTTTGATGGCAGCATACACCGGAAAGTGAAAGTGTGGAGGTTGGCGTTGCAGGCTCGACTGAGTCGGAGGGCTCGGGGGCTTCCAAGATGCTTTGGGGCGTGCGTCTCGGTGAGGTGAATTCCAAGATTGTGGAATCAGTAGAGCGTAGGGCAGCAAAGACGTTGGCATCGGTATGGCTAAAACACAGTGAAGCATCAGGCACGGTAGGGTTCTTAACATATTGGTACTTGCCTGGAGTAGGAAGATCCCATCATCGATGTCAAATGCAGGTCCGGGACGGCTAGGACAGGAACTGTAACTGCAAATCACGACTGCTTTGACTGGTTCCGGGACTTCCATGAGGCTTTTTTCAGTGCGTCCCGAAGATTGCCGGTTAGTACTCGTCAGGTTGTGAGGACGTTGATTAAACTTCCAAATTTGGCTTCCGAAAAGTTGAGGAGCCATAGTCTTCAAATTCCCTGAACAGGATACCTTCTGGCCATGTTGAGGGATCCAATGCCACGTTCTTCAACTCCGGGTCGAGGACGATTTTGAACGAGATAAATGACAAACCCGAAATGTCCTTACCCTTTGGTACGAGTTTCACCACATCAGGCTCCGTGATGATTTCCAGACATTCCTTTCCCTAACACAGATTTCAAAGTTGAATTCCCTCCGGTCTCAGGGTGTCAATCACCGTGTGGTGAGTGGTTTTGTTCTCCATTTCAAAACGAAAGGCTCCCCCAAGCAGCTAATTATCAAGGTTGGCCCTAACCGTTGATCGGATTCAGTTCCAATCACCGTGTTCGGTGGTCAAGGTCATCAATCGGGTCACCATCAGGTAGGGTAAGACTTCCTCCACCCGACGGTAATGTTGGTTTGCGTGGGCGTACCTTGAATTCCTAAAAATCATCTCATTGTTTATAAAAGCTGTTACGCCTAATTCCAGCTCTATCTAGATATGTTTAAATCTAACATACCATGTACATTAAGGCAACATTGGGTGTGGAATTTCAAAAACCAAAGTCGGTCGTGGCATGAAAGTGGTCTGATTTTGATCCAGAGATGATGGATTTCAATTCTGAATACACCAATCGATAGGATTTTTTCTACGAATCTGTTAAAATTAAGACAATATCTATTTTCAAAATGTCACTATTGAAAATTGCACCAATGTGCAACTGTTGCTATCAAATAATCACCGCAACGGTTTCCCTATCACAGATTTTAAAGTTGAATTCCTTCCGGTCTCACCAAACGGTGTTTATTCAATCTCCGTGTGGTGAGTGGTTTTGTTCTCCAGTTCACAACGAAAGGCTGCCTGCAAGCAGCGAGCTGCAGCCCACATGAACACTCATAGAAGGAGGAAGAAGCGGCACCGCTATTGATCGGAATCAGTAGCTCTTCGTGAGTCGCTGTGGGCCATCTATGTCAAGCGCGTCATATTAAAGAGTATAAACAGAGAGAACCCCAATTAAATTCCTATTCCTACACAAAACATAAGCTCCTACTGCAGTTAACAAATAAGATTTATTATATGAGACCAGGCATGGAAAATCATTTACATTCATTTCATGCATTCATTTACATTCATTTGCCTTTAACTTTTTTCATCAACAGCATTCCGCAAAATGTTGCTTAGAGCTTTAGTAGGTTTTGTTATTAGCTACAACTTTTACCCATAACTCAAATCTGTATCTCTTATGCATCACGAATTAGAGCGGGCAGAACTTGTTACTGTTTTTCAGTGAATGTAAAATACATTCACTGAAAAACAGTAGTGGCTTCTGTTCGCTATGGTTCGTCATGCTTAAGAGATACGGATTTGAGTTGTAGGTAATATCAAAACCTACAAAAGTTTTATACATTATTTTGAGGAATTCTGTTGATGAAAAAAGTTAGGGGCAAATGAATGTAAATGAATGCACAAAATGAATGCAAATGATTTTCCATGCCTGTATGAGACCACGCATTCCTACGTCACCATTGCGTACAACCCCATAGGGTTGTCCCTTTTAGTTTTTTTTTCTTAAAAGGCTATAAATAAAACTAGGGTAAGTGTTCCAGTTTTTGGTCCTTTAGCCGTTCCTGGTAACTTTTAAACTGCCAGCTGGGGGTCCCAGACTGGGACTTAAGCCATAGTGGTCGAAAAAAGCTTGTTAGGATCGACTTTTGCCTTTTCGATCAACTTTTCTACGTCTTTTAACACAAAATAATTGAAGTAAATCTTTGTGTTGGGATTTGAGCAAAATGTTCTTTTGGCCGCAGTTGAGAAACATATCGAGGGTTGAATCCTTCGGTATTACAGGTCGAAATTCTTGTGAATGGAACGACGGTCAGCAAAATTTTGCTGCTTCTCTCTGGACTTCCAAATATATGCAGTTAACTCCTAATTTGTGCGGTCACAATAAGAAAAAGTTTACAAATAAAAAAAATGGTGCATACATTTTTCTTCCAAGTTTAGAGTTAGAAGACTGTAAACAGTCAACATATGGTAACTTAAAATTACATTTCAGGATTAATCGTTGGATGGCAGGTCATTGCATAAAAAATCCGCAAAAATTGTCTACTTTCTTATGCAAACGTTGATCTACTTTTGGCTGTGTGAAGCAAGGTGATGAGTTTAATTATAAAGTTATAAATAAAGGACATAAATAGTTAAGGAAGAATAAGGACATAAGTTCAGAAGGGCTAAGAAAACTTAGAATTATAAACCACATTATAATTATTTAAATAGAATCGACTACCCCCTAGATCCCCTTTCTTATTTTACATCTGGTATAATTAATTTGACAGATCGATGGCCGTCTATTCCACTTGAAATTACAAAAATAGGGTCGATTTTTGATGATTTAGTTCCAGATATGTTACGTTCTAAGATGTAGACATGTCCTGATGCAGAGAGGTGTGCTTTTCACAGCATCGCCACGTATTTTATACGCTTTGCACCTACCGAAGACAGAGGAAAGATAGAGGAGTTCCACTCCACATGACTAATCGATCAGGCTTGACGCCATTACAAAAATTGCATGATCCAAAATGGCCGAATTTGAGCACAAATGTGAATTATTGCCCATAACATACAATTACGCAAAGTTTCGAGTAATTTGGAGAAGAATGAATATCAAATTCATTTGTTTTTGTTATTTGGCCTGGAACTGCTCTGTATAAACAAATACTACAACTGCATGTGTGTTTGTGCCCTTTTTTCTGCCATTTTGAATCTTGTAAAAAATTGTAAAATAGTGTATTCGATTTTTTTTTTTTCAATAAATCGTTGCACGAAAACGAATTGAAATGCTCTAGCTTCTCAGTATCAGTAGATGATGAAACAATACAACTCTATTGGCTTAACGTCTCATTTACTTACTTCTATTCCTTATAAACGTGAATAGATATTGCGCATGCATGTGCGTTGTTTTTATTAAGGTATGTTGTTTGTCGTTCGGAATGTTTGTCTTGTACCTACCTAGTAGTATATACAGGTACGCGTGTTGCGTTTACGGTTTTGTGGAAGTGGCTCGGTATTACCAACCCTAGCTCAGACTAAGATATTTCAGTTTTAAGACAAACTGAAGCGAAATATCATATTTCAAAATCACAATAGAATAGCTCTGAACTTGTCTGCACAAGCAAAACCATCGTAAGTAACACTACAAGTTCTATAGAGGTTTTATAGCATTCAACAAACCTAAATCGTGGCCCACAGAACTCTTATAAAACCAAAATTGATACTTGGGATGTGTGTTGCTGGCTGTTGATCACTAGCAATAGACCGATAGAGTCTGCAGTTTATTATACGCCAGCGCTCTAAGTGGCCAGTTCCGTAATATTTAGACAGCAGTTTGTTAAAAGGCTATAGTTCTTAATTGATTTTTTTTTTTTATTATTCAAAGCAGCAAGTGTCATTCTTTTCTGTTGTGGCCGTCTTTACCAACCTTTCCCTAGCTAATTTTCAACCTTCTTTAAAAAAAACAGACTCTTTTATTGGCAAATCAAAGTTCGCCCCGTGGAGAATAGAAGAACTATGAAGTGATGATGGTTTTAGTCATACTTTAGTAGAAAACTTAGGAACTACTTAATAGACATAACATATAGAAACAATAATTTATTTTCAGATTTTTAGTTGTTTACTTAGGTTTCAGTTTTTCCAGTACTGCAGCAGCAACTTGATTTAAAAAAAATGCTACATTTACAAAATAGATGCGTTTTAAGATTGCACTCAGCGGCGCCGGTGGTGTAGTGGTAAGTGTGATTACCACTACACCACCGGCGACGCTGAGTGCAATCTTAAAATGCATTTATTTTGCAGGCCTGGGTTCAATCATCTCTGATCAGTGAAGTAAAGCCGTTGGTATTACTCCATCACTATTGAGATATGATGAAGTATTCGATTTTTTACAGTTGTCATTCTTGTATTTATCGCAAGGATCCGACACTAATAGAAAGGTCCCGCTTCGGAGTGTTGAAACAAGCCTCTTTGTCAGTGAAAATTGGATTCCTTAGCAACAAAATTAGAGACTAGACTAGGGAACAACGAATAGAAGATTAGGAATCACATAGGGTAGAGAACTACTCCGGCCTCATCTACCATTTTGGGCCTATCGAGCAGAAAACTTCAAATTAATCCATGATTCCAGAGTTAACAAGTCAATCATGCGTTTGGTACGATACTTTAGTTAATAAGCTACGGAAAGAAGTCAATGAGAACGCGTGATATGAACGTTTGCACCCATTATTCCCAAAAACAAAAGAATCGCTCCGACCGAATCCATTTTTATCTTCATCCGATAGGCCAAAGTGAATTAATTGGCGTTTCAATGCGTTAGGCCGAGTTTTGAATCCTTAGGCCGAATTTGGCGTCAAGAAGCAGTGTTAGACTTTTGACAATATCTCAACGATTGGTTTCTCTTTATCAAATCTTACGGTACATACGGAATGGTAAATAAATTTGGAAGCCATCAGTAATAATAACGTTCCGTTTGGTGCTAAACTGCGGTAGATTAGGAAAGACTAATTGCGGGTTGTGCTTAATAGGCCGAAAATGGGGTATTTAAACCTACTCATACTAACTAACTCATTTTTGCCTTGTTTCAAGATCATTCTCCGTGGGCAAAGCCGAGTCTTGTCACTATCAACAAGGCATACAAAGTAACAAGGACTGAGATGTGTTCCTTTGATTACTGAAGTAGTAAGGACTAGGAATCGGTGGCATCCCGTAACGTCTCACGAAAAGGTGATCTACCCACGTTACGAGGCTGATGGGTCGATAGGTAGGGTCCAGGTATGGGAGCTGCCTCCCTGGCGTCGGTAGCGTTGGTGCTCAGCACGGAAAACAAGATCAACGGAAAACAAAAAAAAAATTGCACTCGTATGCCTCACTATGCAAAATATTGAAACCGTCATCACTTTCATAGTTCTTCTGTTCTCCACGGGGGCCAACTTTGATTTTCTAATTCTAGTATTGAGATAATTTTCCATATGATCGATCCTCGATCATTCAAGGATTGCTATTATCATGAAATGTATGAACTTAAATTTTGAAATCATCCTGCGAGTATTAGTTTGAATTTTTACAAATTTCTGACCAGTATCTCCGGGCGAACAATCCAACAATCCTCAATTGATTTGCTGAATGAAACTCAAACATTACCTTTGCAATCTAATCATCACTGCAGATTTGTTTTCGTGATGGCGTCCTGGGTTCCATACCTCACATGCACCGCCTAGCTTGTTTCCAAAACAAAAACTTTCACAAAGTAGCAAAATCTGTAGCACAAGCGCGACAAATATCGATGACTGCTACTAACTGCTGCTGATAATGTGTCTGATTGTTGAAGCATATTTTGGAGCAGAATCGCATGTTTAATCAATTCGCAAGTTCAGTTCTCGTTTAGACATGCATCGATCGAAACAGATGCTTCGCATCAACATGCAATCAATCAGTGTTTTCCTGTAAGTACTTGAACCTTCGTTTGCCCTCTCTGTCTCGATAGCATTACAACCGATTCATTTTCATTTTGGATAGGGCCTTCCTGGCAGTGAGTGCTTCCGCATCCCAGCTTCCCTTAACCACTAATACTAGCCACGAGTACAGTTGCATCGGTTCCCGTAAGCCATGTACTCTTCAGGATGTAGTTCTGGAGTCGGAATCCGAGCTAGACCGAGTTACCTTCCCAGACATCACCGATCAGCTCATCATTGAATCCGGCAAGATTCCAAACTTTACACGCAAGCTGACCGAGAAGCTAGCCAGAATAGTTGACCTTACTATCAACCGTCTTCAGCTGAAAACTCTGTATGTAAAACCAGAGATAACCCATCTGGCAGCTACGGACAACCAAATTGAGACTCTTCTGTTGGATAACAACCAGTCAAAGATCTACGAAATTCTAAGCCTGGATCTGACTGGAAATAAGCTTTCTGACGTTGAAGTTCTATCGAGATTCACCAAGCTACAACAGCTAACGCTGGATGGGAACAGTCTCGATCGACTGTCGATGGATTTTTTCACTGGTATGTCCGAACTTCGGAAACTGTCGTTGGCCAACAATCAGCTGTACAACGTTGATACGAAAAAAACCTTGCAGCTTCTGAAATTACGATCCCTCTCGCTTGCCGGGAACCAACTAGTTGAGTTGAACGTTGAAAAGTGGGAGCTGGTTTCGTTGATGGAGTTGGACATCAGCAATAACCAACTGTACCTACTACATGGCAGTTTGGGGCAGTTTACAGCACTGGTTGATGTGAAAATATCCAAAAACTACTGGAAGTGTGAAGTACTCGTAGGAATAATTCAACTGGAGCGTCTGAAGTTCGACCATGATGAGAGTGATCGTTGCAAGAAAAATGATTTGTCCGATGTGAAGCAAGTATGTTGCAAGTACGATGCGTCCACTATTCTTGACACCATTGCCAGTGACGATTTTGGGCTGTTCAACAACAAGTGGGAGGAGTTACGTCAGTTGAATGAATCCTTCCAGCAGTTCAAGAATACTACTGAGCAGGATAAACAGCGGATTGGAGAGTTAGAGGAGGACAAACAAATCACGCTGGTGGAACGTATCAAACAGTTGGAGGATGAACAGAAGAAGATATGGGACAAGCTCAACGATCAAGAGTCCGTAGCGGTTAAAGAGACGAATGAGCTAAAGAAGGACATCTCCTTCCATAATTCAACAATTGAAAATCTAAAATCAAAACAGTCGGATCTGGACTCGGAGCTGGAAGGTTTTGTAGAGATATTGAATTCATTGCGTGAGAGAATGGACGAAAAATTTGACGCTGTTGATGAGGTTAAAAAGAAAATGGCCGATCTAGAGAACAAATCAAAGGAGGTGGAAGCGATTGAAAAAAGGGTCACAGCAGTGAGAGAAAAGTTCAAGCATCTGGAAGTTCAACAAATCAAATATTTCCTGTCGAGCGCAGATCTGAAGAGTCAAATCATCGAAGTCAAAGGACAGTACTCAAAGTTAGTCGGAGAAACTGATCAACTTCGAAATCAAATGGGGTATGCTCAGGAAGATATTCAAAAAATTCTTAATATTTTGGATGAAATCGAAATTTCAGAAACCTAAACTGTAACTAAACGAATATAATTACAACTCATTCCGGCACAATTCTTCTATCCGATCGATTTTCCTTTTCATCTCATCAAACTTGTACGTCTGCTTCCGATGCGCCTCCTCTAGGTGCTCCACCTTCTGCCGTTGATTTCCGAGCTGATCTTGCAAATCGTCCACGATGCCAGTCCTACTGATGAGCAGCATCATCGGGTCTGGTTCGGCTCCCTCGGGCCAGCAGCAAATCTCCCCAAACAACGTTCCCTCGCAAGACCGATCGGTCTGACCGTGCTGAATCCCTCGCATTTCCATTCGGTCCACCATTTTGTGTAACCACGCACAGTTCCACCTGTTGGTATGCAGCTCCAACGTTGCTAAGCCGGGAAACTCTTCCAAGAAAGTAAACAAGAAAGCGAGTTCGTTATCGCTCAGGTCCACCGTCTGCAGAGCAGGCATTCGCCATAAACCGGTATCCAAATACGTCAGCTTATTGTGCTGCAGAAACAGCGATTCCAAACTGGGTAAGCTGATCGGCTTGATCGTATCGATCGCCGTCAGTTTGTTCCGGTGTAGCGTCAAGATTTTCAAGCTCTTCATTTTTGCAAACACATCGATTGTCAAAACTTCAATCAGATTATCGTGCAAATAAAGCTGTTCCAACTCCGTTAGCACCTTCAGCGCATCAACGTCCGTCAGTAAATTCTGATAGAGATGCAAGCTACGCAGTGGAAGTCCATCGACGGCCCTCAGATTGGAAATGTGATTGTAGCTGGCGAAAAGCATCATCAGCTGATTGCATCCCTTCAGGTCCAATTGTTCGATTTTCAAATGATGTATCATCAGATTCTCCACGGTGTGTAGTTGACGAAAATGATCCTCTCCGAACGTGGGGATGGTGCTGTTCTGAATGAGCAGAAATTTGTCCACTGGGAACGTCGCTTGGTTCGATAGGACCGACTCCGTGGTGACGTTTTCAAGTACACAATAACCTTTGTGGTACTCGATGCAGCTGTATTCTACCGCGTTGGTTAGGGGTAACAGCAGTAGCAGCAAAAAAATATTGATTGCAAATCTAAAATTTAATAACAGTTGATTAATCTATACTTTTTGGGTGACTAGGAGACTCTGAGTACGTACAAATGTGACGATTTGGAAAAGTTCCACATTTTTACTAATGTACCAGTATAACCAGAAGTGATCATTGATTGCTACTGCCAGTTACAATGCACTAAAGTCGGATCTGTTAGCAGCGCTTATCATTTGAAAGGATCGTTTGACGATGCTTTTTAATTATTTTATTGACGAGCATGGCGGTGCTGATAATAAATAGTAATGGTGTAAAACAGTTCATAAGTTGTGTAATTGGGTTACGGAAAGCTCCGCTAAGCTGTGGATGATTTGAGATGTTTCAGCAAAGTTCCATAAACTCCTGGAATTCTGTCTTTGTTGTTTTTAATGTTCCGGGAGTTCTGTATGTAGGAAAGAGCGCTACTTCGTCGTAATCGCCCATTTCCGTTCTATCGAGCAGAAATCATCAATAATATCAATGATTTCACCATGCACAAATCAATAATACGTTTGTTCCGAAGCGTTAGTTCATTAGCTACGACATAAATCTTATTAGAGCGCATTGTATGCATATTTACGCTCATTGTTCTCAAAACAAAAGAAGCGCTCCTAGCTCATCCCCTTTTTCTCCGTTCATCCGTAGGACGAAGAAAATCTAATGGCGTTTCAATGCGTTAGGACGGAATTGAAACGCGTAGGACGAATTTAGAAGCAAGAAGCAGTGTTAGATTTTTAATAATATCTCAACATTGTTTGACTCTTTATCAAATCCAACGGTACGTATGGAAAGGTGGATACATTTAAAAGTTATCTTTGATGAAAACATTCCATGTTTTGTTCAAATGCTTTCCAAAAAGCGTGGTAAAGTGCGGGATGTCCTTAATAGGACGGAAATTAGATCAAAAACCCTAGTTGCGAAAGTTTCAATTGATTTTTATAAAGCCCGGTTCAAAGTAAATTTGGACGCATTTAAGTGATCATAACTCAAGAATTAAACAACATAAACGGTTGATCAAAACGTCAAACAAAAGGGTATTTATTCAGTTTTCAAACGATGTATAACAAGTTATTACATTTCATAGTCGCTGGTGACACTGTACCGGCGAACTTATTCCACTTTAAACGCATTTGTTGTGCATTTGTCACTTCTTTACCGCGTCCTCGAAGATTTCGCTTGACAATTGCCCAATATTTTTCGATCGGTCTGAACTCAGGGCAATACGGAGGATTAATCTCTTTGGCGACGAAATTAACATTGTTTGCAGCATACCATTCTAGTACCTCCTTAGAGTAGTGGCAGCTGGCTAGATCCGGCCAAAACATAACATTGGTCTTGTGTTGTAACAATAAGCTTGCAATGCAATGTAGTAGTATACAAATGCTATTTTAGGCAATTTTTATTGTCACGGATTAGTATATGAAGTCGCGGAATTATTTTGAGAAATCGCGGATTTCGCGGATCAAATTTAGAAAATTTGATAATATTGTAAATATTGCTATGATGCTTACAAATAGAGCTTCATACTTGCCGAAGAAATCAAAATTGTGACAGTGAACAGTCCTTATGTCCCAGAGTTATGAAAATTTGAGATGCTACAAATGTTTCTATCTCCGAGATCTTTGAAAATTGTCACAATTTCTAAAACCCGAGACTTTGATCATTTTTCTCTGATCCTCAATTCTTCGATCTAATCACCAACTCGTGATCGGAATCTAACATCATCTTAGTTAATTATTTGTTGTCATAAATCAGATAAAACAAAAGTCAGAAAAGTGAGTACAGAGTGAGGAATTGCCGTAAACCATCATTTGTTTTATTTTAAAGGAGAATGAAAAATGCTCATGATGGGTTGTGATTGTGAGTTTATAAAATTTCTCGAAGTGGGTCACAGTCAACGAAATATTGGAAACAATATTATATTCCATAACCCCACCAGCCCAGTTTCAAAAGATCTCGAAGTGCACAATTTCGGGAGTATTGAACTCTAACTCTAAGAACTCTCGATAGTACTTTTTTTTATTCATTAATTTATATACCATGGGTCTCTGTTCCGCAATCTAGTGCCAATCACCGACGGATATCGATTGCCATCCATTGACGGCAATCGAATGTGCAGGAAGGCAGCTTCCACACCTGCGAAGGATATCACACACATTCAAACACACATGGGCCGGGACCAACAGCTTTACTTCCCTTGCGACCCATTGGGGTGAGAAAGCAGTCACGTTTAACACTACACCACCGGCGCCGGCTAACTCTCGATAATCCTGAACCGTACAAAACTAAGCACCAAGACGCCTGGATCTCCATAAACTGGAACTTGAATAACTTCAGAATCAGGGAAAATACTTCAGGACCGTCAGAACAATCGGAACAAGAACAAATTCACGCTTGACGGAAACATGTCAGTACTTTGTGATGTTTTAGGGGTTCTGCAAAACCGCTCGAAACTCACATACGTTGAGAAGTTATAGACCTTGAAGTACTCTTGGATGTACTGATACTTTCAGCACTCCAGAAAATAACTTCCGAAACAACAGAAACCTCTGGCGCTTCCGTTACGTCTGGAAACTATTGGAACTTCAAGTACTGACATACCCGAGCAAAACTGGAGATCAAATTGAAAGCAGAATTTGCTGTTGTGATTTCGCTGATAATGATTCCTCAGGTTGCTGTCGTTTTGGTCGTTTTAACGGTTAAAATATCACAATTGAGAGCAAACAAATCTTCCTGTGACATCACATTGAAAACTATTTCTGCTATCAGTGAGAGCAAACTAAAAACTTAATTTGATATCCATTTTTCCTGTTGATAGCAAAACAAGTATTCAATTTGATGTTATGCTAAGGCAATAAAAACAAACCCGCAACAACATATTCCTGAAGAGCAAATGTACAGCAAAATGAAAACAAAATTAGGTATCAAATTTGTCAATTGCGTAAACTGAAATCAAATTATGATTTCAGTTTGATGTTGATATCAAAACTTGATTTCCATTTGCTGTCATTTTGATGCTGTACTTTGCTCGGGATACCCGAGCAAAACTGGAGATCAAATTGAAATCAAAATTTTCTGTTATGATGTAACTTATTTTGAATACTCCAGTTGATCTCAGTTTGGTTGACTTAACACAGCAAAAATGAGAGCAAAATTTTACACTGTTGAATCAAACGGAAAACTAATCTTGCTTTCAATGAAATCAATTTGATTACTGATTTTGCATTCATAATGTTGTTGTTAATGAGTATTCAAAATATTTAAGTTACATCATAACAGCAAATTTTGATTTCAATTTGATCTCCAGCTTTGCTCGGGTGGTTAGTATCCATGCTTCTCACGCTGAAAGAGTTGAGCTCAAATCTCACCCCGGGCAAGTCATGAAGGACCTAAAATGTGTTAAACAAAACAAATAAACAATAATCATTAGTTCAACGACAGATGAACTTAAATTAAATTTTAAACAAGACGTTAACAGCAAAACTTCAAGTTAAGTTGCTTTCATTTAAAAAGTTTTGGCTGGATAATGAAAGCACAATATGATATCAGACTTATGTCGCCACAATTGAAATCAAAATGAGTTTTCATTATGATAGTTGCTGCAAACTTTAATATCGATTTGCTTTCAATTTGTTAACCGACTTTGCTCGGGTAGTCTTGTAGTTCTCGAAGCATCTGGAGTTTTCGAAGTTTTACATGTTCTGAACAAGTTCCCGAGTTCCTCGGAGTTTCTGAAAAAAGTTCATTAAGTGTAAAGACTTCCAGGTTTTCCAATAGTTTCGAAAGTATTGGAGTTCCGGAAACATTGAGGTCTCGCAGAATATAGTCTCGTATCAGGAAATTTTAATGCTCTGCATATTCAGAATGTTCTCGAAACTCTACACTGAGGAAATAATTCGTTCGAATTTCATACGAAATGCTTATGGATTTTAACCAAAAGAATTTGTTTTGAATTTCATACGATAGTATTATGAACGCACGCCTTCGTTATCGTTTATGATTTTCGCTATATATTGATATGAGTTTCATAAAGCTGCCGTATGAAAATAGTACGTTATGATTGTGGAAACCATATTTCATTCATATGGATTTTAAATGAGTGGAATACGGAATATAATCGTATCAACTATGAAATCGTGATTATTTATGCTCCTTCAGATTTTGTTTTATTTTTCATGTGAAATTAATTTAAGTTAGTAAAGCAAACAATTAAATAATTTGATTTGCATTGTTTATTTGATTTAACCTGCAGCTAAAATAAATCAATTGAAAAAATACATTATTATATTACATTATATTATATTATATTACATATTAGCACGAGACAATGCCTGAAATATCTTTTGCTTGGTCCACGTAATTAAGGCTGCCGTATTTACACCACACTCTGTAATTTCAGTCGAAATTCATTGATTAAATGGTAATATAGATGCTAATTTGTACCCGGAACATCCTTTTACACTGAATTTAGCGTTTTTTACCTCTGAACACAGGCAAAGCATCCACCGGAACCTGTTCGTACGCCATATTGTTTTGCTTTAAACAAACGTCATACGATCGTTTCATACGAACGACGTATTATTTTTTTCACACAAGGTAAACTGATAAAGTTTATTGTAGTCTCGTACGAACTTCAAACGCGTTTCGTATGAAAATCATAATTGAGACGTGCAATTTGTATAAGCCTGCTATGGAAAACAATAATTTTCACAGTTCAAAATGCTCGTTCATACGAAAATCTTAATTCTAGTTCTCTCAGTGTAGGAATTGCCGGATTTTTTTATTTGTCAAGGCTCAAATGAGGTAGCTTTGCGGAGCCAAAGTAGTTTACATTCAGTGGCGACGCGTGACAATTTCAGACACCTGTTCAACATTTTTACTAAAACAAGATTTTTGGTATGTTTTCGAATTTATTCACAACGATTTGGCCTATCTATACAAGAGAGGAATTCTCCTATTAATTTTGCCCGAAAATGCGTCAATGATGTCATCGTAAAATAATGGTCTTTTCATGATTTCATTCAGCAACCCCCCTACAGCCATCATCATCAATCCAAACAGTCGCGTTTCACCCATTGTCATTCTCAGTCGTAGAACTAAAAATGACCTCTCGACGGATGCTGTTGTGTTTGGCAACGTTAGTATTAATTTGGCAAGCCTTAGAGTTTCCGAAAAGGCTTGGTGGAGGTTTTTCACAATAATGATTGCAACGATGTCTTTGATTTTTTTACCTCTGAACTCCTGGCGTACAACACATTTAGCTCGTTGCTTAGTTTAGCTTCATCGAACTTAGTATCAAATTAAATTAGAATTTTCAACAATTCAGTCGGGAAAGCAACGTTACAGCTTTCGAACTTATCGT